ATATATATATATATATATATCATGATCTAAGATATAATGTTCAGAACCCTCATAAGTAAACTTGGCCTAGCCCAACTAACATATTGCTTAGCTTATCTCGGACTCGGGGAACTTTTCTTCAACTTATGAAATAATTTCACGTTACCTAAAGGTCACTTTCTCCATAAACTTATTATAAATGGCCTCAACCATGCATAAATGTGCAAACAAATATAGATTCCCACGTATATCGAAAGAATAAGAATAAAGAGCACCGGAATCATAGTCTCATTGTGACATCAAAAGTTGATCATATAATTGAGTTCGGTGCAAGAACAAATTGTAAAGGAAGAAAGTTAATCGTACGCACCCGAAATTTAGTGTCTATGGATTGGAAAGGGAAGATAAATTGAGGGGAAAAAAATGAAAGGAGACTGTGTGTTAGGTGAGATAAATGATATGACGGTAAATTGATTTTTAGTATTATTGAGATAGGTACGTGATAAATAAGTGTCTCTTTTCAATAATTTAAAATAGGTAAAATTTAAAATATATATATATACATTTTTTCTTGTTTAATACTATTAAATTTGGTGCATGTGTAAATAGTGAGTAGATATTTTAGGAGATATAAGATAATTTCGATATTATCTTAAAATGTTAATATTATCTTTCATTTATATATATTTTATTTGTTTTATTTCTAGTTAATGTAAGATTTAGATTTTTTTTAATAAAAAAGAAAAATAGAATGAAAATGAATTGTAAGAAAATTTAGATAAATAAATATAATAATAAGTTCAAATTTATTATGAGTGAATTGAATGGTAATACATTGACAGTGTAAAACTATTCCCAATAATATGACTTTTTACTTGTTTATTACAAAAGTCAACAATTTATCACAAATGATAACATATAATTAGATGATAGTGTAAAATTACTTTATACTCTCGATACATCACTTATTTTCTCTTATAGAAGAGTTTTGATGTGCAAACAATGTAAAATAGCTTTACGGTGTCTACCAATTAAATATCATATATTATCATAAAATATGAACAAGTTATGATCGTTAGCCTCCTCTATGTTTAGATTGGGAAGGCTAGGCTTGAAATCTGCTTTCCAAATTTCAGCAGTCTCTTCATCACATCTAACATACTTTAAATTCTCAAGTTTCATAACCAACGAAGGCATTTTGCATGAGCTACAACCAATCATGTGAAGCCTTTCCAAATTACGTAAGTCACCAATATCTTCTGGTAAACTGCGAAGACTTACGCAACCTGATATATCAAGAAAACGCAGCTGAAGAAGCTTTCCAATTGAAGTTGGTACCTCTTCAAACACAGCACAAGAACTAAGTCTTAGAGTTTTCAAGTTCACAAGGTTTCCAATGTCTTGAGGCAATGCTATAAAACCCATGCACCTAGTGATACTAAGCTTCTTGATAGAAGTAATATGACATAATTCAGCAGGCAGTTTCACTAAATCTTTGCAATAATCAATACACAGTTCCACTAGACTTGGCAATTTAACTGAAATTGGGATGTTGTCACTTTCAAAAACTTTATTCAGATTACAATTGTAAAGGGACAATTTTCGCAGCTTGTGCCATTTGCCAAGGGTAGTAACTGAAATTCGTTCCAATCTGATTCTTTTCAGGCCAGATAGAGAATTAAGTAGCTCAAAATTGTTTAACTCAGAACAGTATAAATCATCATAATTGGTGACTATGAGAACTTTCAGTTCAACCATTTTTCTTATGATCTCTGGGAAGGTGTACTTCTTAGTACGAAGATTCAAGACCAAAACCTCAAGTACTTCAGCTTTTACAATATTGTCCAATTCTGGAGTCACCATTTTGCCTGTAAAAACATTTCATTTGGTGTTATGTGAGCGTAACATTACAATTGTGCTTGCATTTTTGAGAAAAGAGATTGACTTACAAGTTGATATGGACAATGTGTGCGCGATGGTATTTTGCTGGTTTTGTTGAGACCAATTATTTTCATTCATGTCAAACACCAACCTTTTCCTTTTTCTATATGGCCCTTGACTGGCTTCAATCATCTCTCTAATAAGATCATGTTGCATTAAGAAATGGTGGTTGCAATAATCATCGAGGTCAGTCGCAACTTCCCTGATCGATGAGAAAAAGTTAGGTGCCAAAAGAGAAACATGGCCTTAAACCATTTTTCTACTGTTAATTAACATTATTGGTTTCTTTATTGACAGTGTTTTCAAAATTGAAGGGCTATACCTTTCTTATCCGATATCCATGAATATCGCTACAGTCCACTAATCTACAAGTACCAAAACTAGGAAGTATTTTTTTATATATATGATACTGTTATTTATAAATTTAAGTAAAATTAAAAATACATTAAATAAATCAAAAGACTTGAATTTTTAATGCATTGACAGTATTTTTTTTGAGTTTAAATATGCTTTTGTTTCTTATAATATATTAAGTTTTTGGTTTTGATCCTCATAAACTTTATTTTTTTTAAAATGGTCCTTTTAATTATTTTATCCTTGTTATTTTACATTAATCATTATAATATATCTATTTTTTCATTTTAATCCCAAAAATATTTTTTTTCATTTTAAGTTAGTCTCTTTAAAAAAATATGGTAGAAAATAAAAGCAAAATTTTGTCATATTACAAGGACAAAAATAAAAAATTAGTATATTACAGAGGCTAATTAAAAAAAAAACTAAAATAAAAGAGAAAATTAACAAGTACCATTTAAAAAATAATTTTATAAGGACCAAAATAAAAATAAACAATATATTACAAAGAGCAAAAGTATATTTAATAAAAAAAATTACTTTTAACCAATAAAAAACGTTGTTGATATGATTTTTTTAAGTAATTAGTATAAAAATAAACAATTATTGTATAAGGCAATTTGTATTCAGATAATAGTACATTTTTTTTTCTAAAATACACTTTTAGTCCTCCAATAATATAAAATCTCAATTTTGATTCCTTTACTACATGTTTATTTGTTTATCGTTAAAAATATATCATTATTCATGACCTAATGTTAGATAAATAACACAATAATTAATATTTAATAATAATTATGGAAAATAAATTTTTAGTTCTCATTTTCATCCTTTTTTTTTGGTAAAGTCATTTCCATCCTTTTCATCCCATTTATCATTTTTTTATGTGATAAAAATAAGAATTAAAAATAAAATTCAGCTTAAATATTATTAAATATTAATAGTTATGTCTTCTGCTTAATATCAAATAATGACTACATCACAATTTTAACAATTAACACATAAATATTCGATAGAAGGACCAAAATTAAATTTTATAAAATTATATAACTAAAATTATAAAATTAAAATAGAAAGATTAAAATTGTGAATTTAATATTATAGAAAGACTAAAAGTACAATTCTTATTTATTAATGATATCCACAATCTAAACAATTGATTCCCCGTGAAGTCATTTCATAGGAGATTAAGGCTCATTCATATACTTTTTTTATAAAACAAATAAACAATGATTCTTGAATAATTAATATCACTTTTATTTTAATTGTAGCAAAAAAACAATTTCCTTTTTATGTAGAAAAGGCCCAATTTAGTAAAAAAAAAACACCGTCGATTCATAGATTATTTACTTTTCAATTTATTTGTAAAAAAAAAAAAATTAACTAACACATTACTATAATCTAGCAGTGAAAAGTTTGGACATAAAGTACTAACTACTATGACACATTTTTTTTTACACACATAACTAAGCGTACCTTTTCATGACAAGGTCAGTCAAATGCCGGTCCTTTAAGTTAAAGACAATATTGACTGCGTCAGCTTCTTTAAATTTTGGTCTTGGGTCTAAATCATCATCATCAGATTTATTTTGTTCTGTCCAAATGTCGATGAGAGCAGCAACAGGTATCTTTTGGTCTTCAGGAAATAAACCCAAGTCCATGAAGCACTCTTTGAGGATGGACTTATCTTCCAATAAATCATCCAAATATTTTAAGATGCTTTGCAATTCATTATGAGAGTTAATAATAGGATGACCCTTGGACAATTTCTTCTTCTTTTGTCTCCACACATTCAGACGCTCTCTTTTCAGAGATCCACCAACCAGTTCAAGTACAAGTGGTGAACCGTAACAACCCCTTGCTATCTGAATTTGAGTGAAAACAAGTAAAATTAGCTAGTAACAAAGGTTTCAATATAGGTGTAGTATACATGAAGGGTAATATAATAAAATCATTGTATCATCATTCAAATATTTTACAATGGGATAATTTTTTTTTTCTCTATTTTTGTTTTGTAGAGATAATGACAGAAAGAAGTAATTAATTAATTAGTTCATTTCATTGTATCCCTCACACTATATCAAGAGGGACAAAAAGTATTATATAGAATGAAATAAAATGTATTTTTATCATATTTAATTCTATCCTATGATATTTTAAACATTTTATGATCCACTCCTATCATTTTATCAACCTAATTAAATATTGCTCAAGTAGCCGCGAAATTTAGCATTAATCACAAAGATGATGCTAATTATAGATACTAAAATGATGGTAAAATTGAAAAAAAAAAATCATTTTATTATTCAGCTAAAATCGAAACTAGCTTAGCTTAAACAATGCAAAAATTAATGTGTATATATGAAAATGTGAGAGAAAGAACCTCGCGAATCAAAACAAGTTTTTCTCCATGATCACTAGAACGTTCTTCATTCGGGAGAGCCAAGTGACTCAAAAGGGTAACCGAATCTTCAAGACAAAGCGGTTCCATGCGGAATACAGGTTCAATTCCTGCAATTTTAAACCTAGATGTCACCAAAATTTTATAATCTGACAAGTGTTGAACCTTGAATGCGTCGACGAGGGATTGTGACTGAGGCCAAACATCATCCAGGACCAACATCATCGGACTTGTCACAATCTCCTTCAGTAACTTTTTCAAGTGCGAAATGAAGTGCCTATCATCAGCAAGGTCAAGATCAGGCATAGCGTACCCATAGTGTTGAAACAGAGACTGTACCAATGTTTTCAAATTGGGAGATTTGGACACGGTGAGAAACAAGATATTTTCCCCAAATTTTTCTGCTCCAAACAAAACAAAAATCATAACATGGGAACATTAATTATAACTAACGACTCATATGATGAATGTATAATTATCACATATTAAATCTGTTAGAGATTTATCATTAGGAGTTGAACAGACAAAGAGAACTCAACTCAAAAGAGTAGTCTATTATGTGGGTCAATCTCAAAGTCTAAGTATTACATTGAGTTTGATATACAAGTTATAAAACTAAAATAAATTATACAAGTGTTATCAAAGTTGTAGTTCAATTCGATAGTGTTAGAATACAAATAACATCTCACAGGATCATGAAAAAAAATAAAGGTTTATATAACATGCATAGTCTCTATTGGTATGAAGTCTTTTGGGAGATGCCCAAAAGCAAAACTATGAAGATTTATGCAGAAAGTAAATAATATTATATCAATGTGAAGATATGTGTGTATAAATCCTAAGTGTCCAAGAGTGATAGACAATTATTTAGCAATGAAAGACAATGGATTCAAGTATAAGATTCCTTGTATGGAAAGTCTTTTTGGTAATGTGGAGTATCTAGAGTTGATAAGTGTAGCTAAAGCTCTAAGGGCTACCAATGAAAACTCAGAGATGAAAATACCAATGTAGAGACATGTGTGTGAACCTCAAATGTCTAACAAGTCATAATTTACTTTCTTAGAATGATATCTAGTGTATACCAGAGTTACCACACAATCTTCATATTAATAAGAAATTGTCAACTTTAGATCTAAGTTCTCATAAATTTATTTTTAGTCATCATCCAAAAGACATCTTAATAATGGAGATTTTATGTGTAAATAAATGTATATACATGTGTTGTGGGAATTTAGATTGTATGTGGACAATAGCATACTGTATTGTAAAGAGTATAGATAAGTGGATAAGGGTGATTTTATAGGATTAATGGATATCCTATTATTAGTATCATCTGAGTCTCAAGAATAGAAAAGGGTAGAAGGATGAAATTTATTACCTCTAACTTGGACATCCGAACATAGTAGTGTAGCCCAGGTCGTCTTCCCATACCCAGCCAGACCGGTGAATAAAATAACGGAAGTAGCCGTTTCCAGCAAGTGGCTCTTCAACTTATTAAAAAGGG